GACCAGGTTTGCTGGTCTGATAGAGCCTGGGGGAACCACTGAGACTATGGCCCCTACCTGCCCTTCAGGTCTGGAATTGAACCCACACCTGTGGCTTCCAGCCAAACAAAAGACAGGCATGTGGGTTGAACATGTACCTGAGGTAGATACACTCCTTGGAGAGAATAATCATGGGAGAAAGAAGGTCTGTATATGCACAAGGAGGCAGCTAAGGGGTCAGGGGTGCATGGAGGAATGGACACAGGGAGGAAGTGTTGCATTATGGTAAATTGTAGTCATTGTCATGAGACAAAATGTATGTGAACTTCTGTATGGAAAGTGAATTTGCTCTGTAAATTTTCACCCAAATCACAATAAAATAAAATAAAAAAGTAATATAGTCATATAAATAACAATTCTTTGCAATACCACAGCTCCTGGAAGAACTTTACATTTTTTTGGTATTCTTTTAATCTTTTTCTTATATGCATCCATAAATATGTATTTATGAAAATAAGAACAAAACATGATGTCTTATGTCTTTATCTGCTACTCTCCCTCCCATCTATGATGGGTGTTTAAATACAGATCTATGTGTTTGTAACCAATCCCCTGTTGTTGGACGTTGCGTTGGTTTCTGCTGTGTGGATAAAAAGATGTGGTGCTCTGCTGCTGTCTGATGGCACAGTTCCACTCTGTCCTATTGGACAGCTACGAGTCAGAATCGACTTGGCAATATTTGTTTTTTTGTGTCATTAACGGACTTACATATTCATCTTTGTGCCCTTGTGTAAATATTTCTGTAAATTAAATTCTTAGAAGTAGAATTGACTGAAAGGTGTGCAGATTTAAAATTTTGATGCATATTGGTAATTAACCCCTTAAAAGGTTTGAGCCAATTTATATTCTCACCATTTCCACCAACAGTGGCAAAAACTGAAATTATAAAATGCACACACTTTTTTTTTTTTGCCAATTGAAAACAGTCATTATTATTAACAGACATTTTAGAGAAGTTGATAGCAATTAAAAAAAAATTATTTTCAGTGTCTCCATATTTCCTAAGGAGCCCTGGTGGGGTGGTACAGTGGCTGGGCACTCTGCTGCTAACCTAAAGGTTGGTAGTTTGAACCCACCAGCCACTCCACAGAAGGAAAGACCCGACAGTCTCCTTCCGTAAAGATTACAGCCTAGGATACCCTATGGGACAGTTCCTACTCTGTCCTATAGGGTCTCTAAGAGTTGGAATTGACTCCATGGCACACAATTACAACAACACTTGTTTCATTGTGTTGCTTTGCCTTCATTTAACGTGAACACCAGCCTCCTTTTGATGCCTGTGTTCTCCTTCCACCATAGAGCACCTTGTCCCAGGTGTGCTGGGAGCCAGCTATCCTGTGGATCGGTGAAACTCACACATCTCTCCTTTCCCAGAAACCTTTTTTGTTTGTTTGTTTTCTTTTTTTAACCCTAGAGGAAATCTGAGGTCTGTTTTTAATCTCTCTTAAAATTCTGAACTCTTAGAGCCAGCTGGTATTAGCCATCTCCATCTGCATGGTAGGATCTTTCCCCTTAGTGTACCCACTCTGGTTTGACCTCCCACCCTGTTTGGAGCCTATAGGCTCTCTCTTTTCCCATCCTTCTGTTAAAATGCCTGCTTTGGTGCTACCTTAACTCTCTGGGTTGGTGCTTTCTTGGCAGTGCTAGCCTTTAAGAATTTTCTCTCAAAGGCAGCCTGCATTTAATGAATTATTATTATTTTTTAATGATTTCCACTATTTTTAGGGTTTCTCCAGACATCTCAGTTGACATATTGCCAGGAAATGAAGCCTTAGTCATCTGTTTATGCATTTTCATCTTTTACACCCTGCAGTACTGATGGAAAAAAGTCTAAGGCATCCATCCCATAGATTACTTACTTGGACAGGAAGATAAGGCCTAGGATTCTTAGGCATAAAAACACAGAAAACTTGCCTAGGATATCACCTCTGATGGGAAGGAGGGGAAAGTTCTTTTTAAAATCCATTTGAAATTATCTAGATTTTTGTAAAGGGTTTTATGATGGCAGTGTTTTGGAGTGGTGATAATGAAAGTGTTCAACACTTAGTATTTAATTCTTTTTACGCTATACCTCTTATTACTAATAATTATTCATGTATTTCACAATTTTCTAATATTGTTAAGGCCACTGTCTCTTTAAAGGAGAGTGTGCTTGAAAATTGGTAGCTTAATATTCCTAACAAACCTTAACTCTTTTTGACATGCAGAAAATGTGAATTAGACTTTATATTGAGACATTTTGAATTGTAGGTTTATTTCTAGTATTGGAATACTTGTGGTTTTAACCAAATTGTTTTTGATTGTTTTAAAACAGGCCCACGGCATGGAAGAACTGATATGGGAACAGTACACTGTGACCCTACAAAAGGTAAGTCTTGCACATTTGTTGTCTGCCACAGTTGTGTTCTTCATTTTGAGGTAGATAATACATTAGGTAGTAGCTTGGAATAATTACTGAGTTGACAAAGACATGCGTGCTGTTGTAATTTTGGCATGAGGTCTGTATAATATAGAAAATTTTGTTGTTGTTGGGTGCTCTTGATTGCCATTGGGTGTTGATTCTGATTCATAGCGACCCTATGTGACAGGATAGAACTGCCCCATAGGATTCCCTCAGCTGTAATCTTTATGGGAGAAGATTGCCAGGTCTTTCTCCCATGATGCTACTGGATGGGTTCGAACCACCAACCTTTGGGTTAGCAGCCAAGATTTTGGAGGTTCTTTAATATCATCATCTATCTGCAGACAGGACAGATTATGAAGGAAAGAGAAGTGGAAGGGAGAGAAAAAGGGAAAATAATCTATACAATTTAAAGATAACTTCAATTTTCCTTAATTAGTTCAATTAACTTAAATTGACAACTTCTACAACTTCTATCATTTTAATATCCCTTAGTGAGTTGTGAGTCCAGATTAAATAAAAAAAAAAAAATCATTGGCTTAGGGATCAGGAGACATAGATGTTATTCCTTTTCTCACTTCTGATTATAATAAGAGAGGTCACAATAGTCAGTTTTCTGGGTCTTTCAACAGTGGAGATTGACAATAAAAGTAATACCACATGTAAATATATTATACTTAATTTATAAACTCTTTTCACAGGTATTGTATCCTTTGATTAAATTAGGTAATATGTACCTAGTACCTGGAGTCATGTACATAATACATGCTTGATAAATGTTGTGTGCCATCTAGCTGATTCTGACTCACAGTGACCTATGTGATAGTAGAACTGCCCCGTAGTGTTTATTAGGCTGTCATTGTTACAGGAGAAAATTGCCAGGTCTTTTTTCCCATGGAGTTGCTGGGTGGGTTTGAACCACTGACCTTCCGGTTAGCAGCCAAGTGCATGTCCATTGCTCCAGGGCTCCTTTAATAAATGTTAGTCTCTTTCTTTTTATTCTAACAGCAAAATTCAAAGTAGGCATGAAAAGTGTTAGCCCAACTCTAATAAACGAGAGCAGCAACTGAGAGTCTATAAGTGATTTCTGTGTGGCTGAGTTGGAGTAGATGGAGTCCCTTGTGTTACTGCTCTCATCACCACCAACCGAACAGTTGGTGGTTCAAGGCCACCCAGACGTGCTTATTTCTGAAAAATCAGCTATTGAAAACCCTGTGGAGCACAGTTCTACTTTGATATACATAAGATTGCCACTAGTCAGAGTCAACTCCATAGCAACTAGTTTTGTTTCAGTTTTGAGCTGGATTAGAACTGTACTCTTGGGTCAGAAATTCCTACTGCAACCAACTGCTTTGGTTGGCATTGGTGTCACTTTCTGTGCCCACAGGATCCTATTCCTGCTCTGAATCCCTTCAATCTTTAGCCTTTGAAATACATAGTCTTTTCTCACTTCCTAAAGGATTTATAAACTCCTCAAAGGGAGAGTTTTCCATTGCTGCTCATAGTCATAAACCTTGAGCCCTGTCTTCATTGAAAAGTTTGTTGCTCAATAAACGTTTATTGAATTTTCCAGGAAAAAGAAAAAAGTTGCTGGGTTAGTGCCCAGATGCCCAGACTTTCGGATCAGTAATGACAGTTTCTTCGGTTGTGCACGGTCCATCCCTCCTCCCCATTCAATAGGTCTTCTTTTTCAATTCTCACCATCTTTCTGACTATTCTCTGAACCCTTTCCACCAGAATTTCATGTAAGCTTCTGGAGTTGTAGACCCCAAAACTGGGAAAGATAAAGGCTTAGTGTAGCGGATGGACTCTACACTGAGGAACTCTGGTGGCACAGTGATGAAGGCATTCGGCTGCCAACCGAAAGGTTGGTGCTTTGAACCTAGTAGGTTCTCCACAGGAGAAAGATGAGGCAGTCTGCTTTTGTAAAGATTCACAGTCTTGGAAACCTTATAGAGCAGTTCTACCCTGTCCTATAGGGTTGCTGTGAGTCAGAATTGACTCGATGGCGGTGGTTTTGGTGTTTTGGTTTTGTAGAGGAAAAGAGTCTCTGGGTGATGCAGTTGGTAAAATGCTTGGCTGCTAACTGAACAGTGTGAGGTTCAAGTCCTCCCAGAGGTGCGTTGGAAGAAAGGTCTGGAGGTCTGCTTCTGAAAACTCAGCCATTGAAATCCCAACGGAGCACAGTTCTGCTCTGATGCATGTGGGATCACCAGGAGTCAGAGTCACCTTGATAGCGGCTGGTGGTGGTGGGTAGAGGACGGAGATGTCCTTGCCTATAACCAGGTGCCAGGTGATGGTACTGCCAAAGTCAAAGCCATACGAGTAATGGACAACAGTCCAACTTCTTTTGAGTTGTAATTGTTTATAATCAGTCAGTCAGCATAATGAGCCCCACATGTGTACTCACCCTTGGGGCCAAGATTTTCTTATATTCACTGAGTAGATCTTTATATGATCAAATCCTGATTTGAGGTTACCTAGTCATATATACCCATGTCGTCAGTATGAAACCTGTGAGCCTAATTTTTTTAATAACTGAAATGAATTAGGATTATAAATTATTTGGGTCTGTTGTCACACATTTCTAGGCCCATCATGGATGTCATAAATGGAAACACTAGCTAATTTTATTTGGAATTAAAGATACTCCTTTGAAAATATAGTTTGAGCACAGATTCAGTTGTAAGTGAAATTGTTCCAGCGTAGGCCAGCATGATGCAAACAGCCGCCTTTGCTACTTCAAACAGCTCGTCTCTGTTTGGACAGAAAACTTTATTTCCTGTCCCCTTCCAGCTCTCACTGATAACTCCAGTCTATTCTATTGTTTTTTCCTCTTTTCTCCAGGCTTTCATTTAGATAAGGAATTTCCTTTATACATCTGTCAGCGCACTGTGCTGACACTATATTTTGTTTCTTATGTATTTCTATAGGCCACCTGCTCCTGAACTGTCTGATAATTGGTTCCACTTTTATTTTATTGAGTGCTTGTAAGAAATCTTCAAAGCCTCTTATGGAAGGATTTTTTATTTTTCTCCTAACCCCAATGAATAGGATTCCAAAAGAGGATTTGGAATTGCAGTGTCTGGAGGCAGAGACAACCCCCACTTTGAAAACGGAGAAACGTCCATTGTCATCTCTGATGTGCTCCCGGGTGGGCCTGCCGACGGGCTGCTCCAGTGAGTGTCTTTCGCGTCCCTGGTCCCTGCCAGCCCTACTGGTTGGCTTGAGACCAAGTGTACTGGTTGGTCTGCTTGTTACAAGATTTAAAAAAAAAAAAAAGAATGTTTACGTAAGTGTTTAAAAATCTTCAAGCAGGAATTCAGAGTGTAATACATTGTGTTTTAATAATCCCCAGCCTTTGGGAATCATCCAGACAACATCCTTTGATGGTGGCAGTGGGGAGGTTGAAAGATAGTTACAAACATCACTCCTGGTTTAGGAGTCTTCTGAACGTTGGCATAAAAAATTGGCATGTCCTACCCCCCAGGTCTAACCCAACACTGTTTATATTTGTTTTCATTTATATTCTTTAAGAATTTAATGAGGAAACTCGGGCTTAATGATTATCTTATTTGTAAGAGTGATTTGGGTTTTGGGAGAATTTGTGATCCAAGATTTCTAACTGCTGTCCTTCTGATCTGAGGAGATAATGCCATTTTATTTTTATGTATTTACTTTTTAAAATTTTTATTGTGATTTGGGTGAAAGCTTACAGAGCAAATTCAGTTTTCATACAGCAGTTCATGCACAATAATGCCATTTTAAAAGATGAATACCTCGGGTCTCTTCAGGATAATTTCTCAGGGCAGACTCTAAAGTTAATTAAATCTATAGCTGCATTGGCCACATAGCTCAAGAGTTTAGGTTCTGTTGGCACTTAAAATCTCTATGATCTTTTCAAAGTGAGTTGTCTTTAACACACAAGGTAGATTTTGTAAATAATTTTTGGGATAAACTAAAGTAATAGGGTTCTGTAACTTCAAAATTTCTGTGGCAGACTCTTCCCCTCCAAAAAAGCACATATGGATATAAACTCAATTTGGGGAATATTTGTGGACTTTCTGAAGCCCACATGCATCCTGGGTAAAGAGGACTTGATGCAGAAGTTCTTTTTTGTGCCCAGACCTCAGCCGTGTTGAGTGCCTCCTGGACTGACCCTGGGGCCTGGGGGGAGGGTAGCTGCCTCCTTCTTCCCACTGATCTCCAGTGGATGCTGTCAAAGTGGGCTATGTGTCCCTTGAATTCCTTCCTTTAATAGGCATTTTGGGTTAATTTGTGCCTCCTATTTTTTCCTTCATGAATGATTTTAAAAGAATAGATGAGCATTTTTCATGGCTTGTTTTTATTTTTTGTTTGCAGAGAAAATGACAGGGTGGTCATGGTCAACGGCACCTCCATGGAGGACGTGCTCCATTCATTTGCTGTTCAGCAGCTGAGAAAAAGTGGCAAGGTTGCTGCCATTGTAAGTATCATTTTGCTTCCCGTTCATCTCAATAAAACCAAGACCAAACTCACTGCTGTCGAGTTGGATCCAACTTATAGTGACCCCTCCTTGGATTTCCAAGATGATATCACTACGGAAATAGGTTGCCCAACCTTCTGTCTGAGGAGCGGCTGGTGGATTTGAACTGCCAGGCTTCTGGTTAGCAGTCACATGCCTTAGGCATTATGCAACCAGAGCTCCTGTTCATCTCAATAGCTTTTTCTTTTCATGCCCAGAAAAAAAAAAAAAATTACCTCTCACTTTTAAACATTTCACAGAATTACATAATCTAGGGGCCATTTCTTATATCCTCAGTACTTTTGGGAGGGTGATGTGACAGATGATGTAAAGTCTAAGTCAGTTATCCCTCTCTTACTTTTCAACGGGAGCCCTGGTGGTGCAGTGATTAGGTGCTTGGCTGCTAACTAAAAGGTCAGTGGTTTGAACTCACCAGCCACTCCACAGGCAAAAGATGCGACAGTCTGATTCTGTAAAGATTACAGCCTTGGAAACCCCAGGGGACAGTTCTGTTCAGTCCTATGAATGAACTCGAAGTCCTTTTCAGCTAGTCCTCCTAACTTCCTGAGACTAGTAATGCTCTCATCTGAGTTAGTCTGCCTTGGTTAGTCAGCTATTCCCTGAGAGAATTAAATAGATAAAACAATGTTAATTCAGAGAAAAAAAAAATCAGCTACAAACCTCATTCACAAAGGCTCACACAGTATCTACTATGTCTTAACAGACTAGAGTTTCTTGGAGGACTATGGGAGTGCATAGCATTCACTCATTCATTCACTTATTCACTCACCAATCGTTGGTTGAGGATCACTTATGAACCAGATGCCACTGGGCCCTGGAGCCAGTTTGTGCTGCATGAGGTGGGCATCTCCATGGGAAGGTGGACACACAAAGCAAGGATTAAAGCACAGCGTATTGAGGGCATTGCTAGCTGATGCACTGGGCATGTGATAATCTAATTTCTTTTCAACTTTATATTATGGAAATTTTCAAACAAAAATAAGAGTTGAAAGCTTACTGTAACAAACTTAAATATCTTCTACCTGGATTCTGCAGTGTTCACATTTTGCCATCTTGACTTGATCTCTCTCTCTCTATATAAACACTTATGTACTGAAAAAAGGGCATGGAGGCAGCATCTTCTGACCTCCTCTAACTGCACAAGTGGAAGGCAGAATCGCCATCAGTGGCCCAAGGCTTATTCCTATGAGGCCAGACATGCCGCCACTGTCTAGCCTTTTACCAATTCTGACACCAACCGTCCCTCCCGCAGCACTCCCTGCTTCTCTGCTGGGTTCAATAATTCATTGCAGTCTCCACACAGAACTCACAGGCAATACTCAAGATTATGGGGTTTATCAGGGAAGTCACAGGAAGTGACAGGTTCAGGAATCCACTCAGGATACAATTCTTCGATCAAGCAGTCCCCTCTGCTATACCCTAAGACACACCTCTGGCCCTTGGCCTCTTGGCTTGGTCTCTGCCCTGCTTGGGCATGTGTTACAAAGCTCTTTTAGCTCTGCCCATAGGTACACCTAGGTGCACCCCACTCCACCAGCAAGCCTCCTGCCTAAGAGTGCTCAGCTTTCTCACTCCGTGGGCCAGGTAAGCCTGCCACTCTGACTTGTTCCCCCTGGTTCCATTGCAACTGTCTTTCTGGTGGGGCGTCACCCTGGCGGAGCATCTCTGCCAAGGAGGTCCAGCGCGAGGATCTTGGATCCAAGCATGCCCTGTACTTCATCTCCAGCTTTTCTCTCTTAATGGCAGTGAGCTCCACCTCTCTGTCTCTTGGAAGGCTCATTTTAAGCCTGCAGAGTGACAAAACTAACCAATCTCAACATCAGAGTTCTACATACTTTATTTGCATGGTCCCACCCAGTAATCCTGAAGGAACTCTGGTGGCATAGTGCCTAAGGCATTTGAGTGCTAACCAGAAGGCTGCCAGCTCAAACCAACCAGCCACTTCTCAGAAGGAAGGTTGGGCAATCTACTTCCATAGTGATACCACCTCGGAAACCCAAGGAGGGGTCGATATGAGTCGGATACAACTCTACAGCAGTGGGTTTGGTTTCTGGTACCCAGTAATCCAGTGGGAGTTACAAAGACTATGGCTAGAAAAGCCATACCAATAATTGACTGCACCACATGTGTTTATGATGAACCATTTGAAGGAAAGCTGCAGACATCAGGACAGTTCAATCCTGTGTACTTCACCAAACATCTCCTAAGAGTAAAGGCATTCTTCTCCATAACTCCAATACTGATCTCATATCTAAGAAATTTAATAGTAACTCCACAATGGGGCTGATTTTCAGTCCTTATTCCATCATATCTTTAGACTTTTTTTTCTTCCCAATCCAGGGGCCAATTAAATTTCTCTCACTGCATTTAGTACTTATGTTCAAATGGTAGTTTTGCCTAGATTAGTCCTTTTTAATCTGGAAGCATCTTTCCTTCCCTTTATTTTTATTTTTCCTGATTTATTTTTGTTGTTGGCAGTCATTCTTTATTAGCTAAACTAAACTACTGTTTGGTTTTAAGACAACTCCAGGAAATATTTTTGGTTTAAAGCTTAAAGATTATCTCAGGGCATAGTTTCAGGCATTCATCAGCCTCCATGGCTCTACCCCATCCTTTTTAAATGGATTGACCTATTGAAGAGTCTAGGCCAGTTGTATACAGAATATGTCACTTTTTGGATCTTTGTTTAGTTTCTGTTGTTTAGTGATGGGCTCTTAGGGCTTTTCACATTCTGAGTAGAAGCAGATTTTGTAAGTACCATATTTTGTCTTAATGTGAGGTATTGGGCTTGGAGCTTTGCACTCATGGTATTTGGTTATCAGCCTTATGAGATATGGGCTTCCTTGTTCCTGTTTTCCACTGAGGCATGGAAGGCTTGGTGAGTGAGTAGTGAGTAGGCAGGGAGCTAGTTTTACTGAAATGTAACTCAGGCTCTTCACCACTAGTCTGTACGTTTACTGTGGTGGCCTGCACCTCCACTGTGTTTGTTTTGGTAACAGGTGGTCAAGAGGCCCCGGAAGGTCCAGCTGGCCCCACTGCGGAGCAGCCCTCCCGTGGATCACGATGACCGGGCTTTTGAGGTGATGGACGAGTTTGACGGCAGAAGCATCCGCAGTGGGTACAGTGAACGGAGCTGGCGTAGTGGCCGTGGTGGACGAAGCTGCAGCTTGGATGACAGCCCCAACCGAGGGCGTCCCCATAACCGGGCACAGAGCCGGGAGCGGCTCCACAGCAGGGACCGGAGCCGGGGCCGGAGCTTGGAGCGGGGCCTGGACCAGGACTACAGGCAAGCCCGAGACAGCAGCCGTGGACGGAGCATCGACCGGGAGGGAAGCTATGAGCGAAACTATGACCCAGCCTACGACCGGCCCTACAGCCCATCTGTGGAGTATAGCCGTAGAGCTCAGGCCGACGCCCACTATGAAGTGTCCCGGAGTCGCAGCCAGGAGTACTTCCACTCCCGCAGCCCCAGCCCTGAGCTGAGGGGGCGGCCAGACCATGCCAGCCAGCAGGACTCAGATCGGCCCATCGGGGTCCTTCTGACAAAAAGCAAACCAAATGAAGGTAACGCTTGATAAAAGGTGGTTGTTAAGAATGTGTGTTTGTGTGTATTTAAGAAAAGCACTATTATAATAACAGTAGATAACTCTTACATAGCACTTACCACGTGCCAACCACTCACTTAAATATACTACCTCATCTAATCCATATTGACAATTTAAGAAGGAGTTACTCATAAATCTTCATTTTTTTGTCAAGGAAACTGAGGAGTAGAAATGGTTAATTGATTTACACAAAGTTCTATGTGAATGACAGGGCCAGGCCCCAGAAATGTGACTTTCAACCACATTTCAAAACCAGTGATTTTCAAAGCAGTGTAAGTATCACCTGGACACTTACTAGAAATGCAAGTTCTTGGGCCCACCTCAGACCTTCTGAATCAGAAACTGTGGAGTAAGGCTCAGCAGTCTGCATGTTAAGAAGCCCCCCTGGTGATTCTAATGTGTTTCAAGTTAGAGAAACTACTGTGAAGGAAAACACTCCAGCTAATCTTTTTCTTTTTTTAAATAGAGGTAAAATTTACTTGCATATAATTAACCATTTAGAAGTATATAAAAAGTATATAACTTAGTAGCTCTGGTAGCATAGTGGCTAAGGCACTTGACTGCTCACCAGA